CTCATCAAAGTAATTAATGACTCATCACCACTCCTACCCTCTGATAAAGAAGATAAATCGCGGAATATATTTCAACTAGTATACAGACCTTTAAATGTTTATACACTAGTGTTCATAGCAAAGTCAAATCTGTATATGATTTCAAAGTCAAATCCGTATATGATTTCAGTAACACTAATAATGTTTCATTACAATTGGACTTTGCTGATAGGATAAAAATTGATATATTTAGTAAAATAATTATTTTTACATGAAATTTGATAAATATGGTTAAATAATAATTAGGTTTGGTCCAAAGATCCACTACCTCCATAGGAATTGAAACTTTGTAAATTGTAATATAGAACAAAACGCCAAGTAAATCTTTAAAAAGAAATTCAACCCTGTTTGGTAAAAAATTAGCCTATAGGTCAATTTTGGCCTATTTGACCACTATTAATTGTTTGATTTAGTTAAAATATCAATATAAATGTTTGATTAATTAGCTTTTTGCAACTCTAAAATGCTAAAATTCAAAAAGCTACTCCAAGCAACTTTTTTAATTAGCTTTTTGAAAAAAGAAATTATACCAAACAGCTATCAGCTAACAGCTAATTTACCAAACATTTTTCTACCATCAGCTAATTTTATCAACTATTTATACCCTCTAATTAACACAATCAGCTAACAGCTAACAGCTATCAGCTAACAGCCATTTTACCAAACAGGGCCAATATCTTAGGAAAATCATGCCAATTTAGGCAATGTTTTTAATGACAACTTTTCTTTTTTATTTATTATTTTCAATTCTTATGATAAAGGGACCAAATTGCTTAAAAAAAAAAAAAAAAAAAGTCTGCATGTGGAAGATTAGTCACATCTTCACAGGCTATCAACTTCCAAATATAATTATATGCAGTGTGTGTGTTTATATATGTGTGCGTGTGCGTGAGAGAGAACACATGTTTTATGTAAAAAATGTAGATTAATCTTATTAGTTGATTAAGGACTAAAAATTAAGGAAAATATGGCGTCATTTCTATTATTATGATGATGTATTTGAAAACACTTGATAACGCATATACGGATAACTAACAGTACGTACACTCAGGATCTGTACTAGTGCACTCACGTGTGTGCACTATTAGTTATTTGTGAACGCACTTTCAAACTATTTCAAATGCACTGTTGTAATTATAGAAATGTCAACGCATATTTTCTTTGTTTTTTTTTTTCCTTAATTTCTATAGTTTAATCAACATAAATGGATGAATGAGATTAATTCACACTTTTTGCATGTATTATTACTTGAAATTACTCCCATATATATGTGTGTGCGCCCTTTTTGAATCTTATATACTTTGAGTGTGATTAATTACTTAATTTTGTTTTTTAAATATTCAAAATAGTCATATGTAAATATTTAGTCAAATTGAATAATTGATATGCATATATATATTTTTTGCATTTAATATTTAATTATTTTAAATTGTGAAATTTTATTATTATTATTATTATTATTATTATTATTATTATTATTATTATTATTATTATTATTATTATTATTATTATTATTATTATTATTATTATTATTATTTGATCATAAGACTAAAAGATCTAAATACAATTAAAAAATATATATTTCCTATGCTTTCGTGAGAAGCATCTCTACAAGAAAGGCAAAACACAACATTTGCTTATACGTTTGTATATATAGCAAGTATCTAATAATTATTTAATAATTTTTATATCAAAACTAATATTTTATAAACTTTATATAATAAATATTTGTTAACAAATTTTTCTAAACAATCATTCTCGCTAAGCTTCAAAAATTACAATTGCTCACTAAAATATATAAAATTATTTACAATATAGTGTAATAAGAAAGTTGACTACTACAAATATAAAGGACAATAATGTTTTTAGGGGGCGTTTGGTTCAGGTCATCTTAGATTACCTAGGTAATCTGAGTCTGGTAATGTTATATTACCTTGTTTGGTTCAAGTTATAAGATTACCTGGTAATGTTATATTACTTGAAAGCTGATGTGGCGGTAATGTTTCAAGGTAATGTGATTACCTCCAATTTTTTAGGTAATCTTAGATTACCTTGCATTATTCCAACTTTGCCCTTGTTAACTAATCCTTATATATAATAATAATAATAATAATAATAATAATAATAATAATAATAATAATAATAATAAAATTAATATATATTTATATAATAAAATATATATGTGTATATTTATATATTTAATTTTTTTAATATTTAAGCATCGATTACATTCATACATATAAATAAATACACACATTATACATACATACATACATACATACATACATACATACATACATACATACATACATACATACATACATACATACATACATATATATATATATATATATATATATATATATATATATATATATATATTATTGAGGACATTATTGTAAATTGATCCATATAACCTAAAATATAACCTTGAACCAAACAAGGTAATATTATATTACACTATCCAAACCAAACACACAAGGTAATCTTACATTCCCAACATCTCACATTACCTTTCTGGAGGTAATCCTATTACCTGGGGTAATCTAAGATTCCGTGAACCAAACGCCCCCTTAGGAATAAGGGTCAAATAGGCCCTCAAACTGCACAGGATAATGCAATTAAGCCACTGAACCTAAAAAACCAACAATTAAGTCCCTAAATTAATCAATTTCAAATAATTCTTCCAATTTTAAGGTTTCCAACAGGTCAACAGGTCATCCTCTCAAATTAATTATTTTTTTAAAAAAATAAATTTTAAAAAATAATTAATTTTAAATTTTGTTTAAAAAAAAACATACTCCGGCCGGAGACGGTCCATTTTTTTTAAATATTTTTTAAAATTTAAATAATTAATTTTAAAAATTTATTTTTAAAAAATAATTAATTTGGAAGGATGACATATTGACCTGTTGGAAACTTTCAAATTGGAAGAATTGTTTGAAATTGGTTAGTTTAGGGGCCCAATTGTTAGTTTTTTAGATTCAGTGGCCTAATTGAATTATTGTGTGCAGTTGGATGGCCTATTTGACCCTTATTCCATGTGTTTTATAAATAGTGGAAACACATATTAGTGATTACACAAAGGCTTTGTTTGGTAACATAATTAGCGTATTAACTAATTTTGATTTATTTGATCACTATTAGCTGTTTGATTTAGTTAAACAGTATTTGATTAATTAGTTTTTTTGTAACAACTCATTGCTCCAAAATCTAAAATTCAAAAAGCTGCTCAAAGTATTTTTTTCGATCAACTTTTTGAGAAAGTCATTTTGCATACAATTAATTATATATTAGCTAACAGCTAATTTTTTAAACATTTTTCTACAATCAACTAATCAAAATCACTAACCTAATAAACTAATAGCTATTTACCAAACACCCCAAAAGATCATATCGGAGGGTGTACCGACGGTCGTTATATCGTGGACCGCGGTGCACGTGTGCCGCGGTCAAAATGGCGCCGTTTCTTTAAGTAAAGAAACGGTGCGCCGTTACTGTTAACGGAGCGCGCATTTTTTGGTGTGTTAATTACCAACTGAAACTACAGTCTATCTAAACTAACATTACAGTGTATCTAAACCGACACTACCTCACGTATTATTTTATATGTTATCAAATGAAACTGCAGTTATATCAAAATGATACTGTAGTTGTGGTGAAATGAAACTGTAATGTATATAAAATGAAACTGAATAACATTTCACATATTTGAGTATATATTGTGCAATGAAACTGTAGTTATATCGAAAGGATCATGTAGTTGTGTTTTAATGAAACTATAGTGTATATAAAATAAAATTAAATAACATTTTCACATATTTGAGTTTATAAATGTCGAATGAAACTGTAGTTATATCGAAATGAAATTGTAGTTGTGTTGAACTGAAACTGCAGTGTATACAAAATGAATCTGAATAACAGAGTTACTTTTTGCGGAACGACGCGAAACATGCGCCGTTTCTTTTCATAAAAAAAAAAACGACATCGTTTTAAAACGCGGTGCATAATCGATTATGCATCGTTGTACACGATATAATTTGCCGTGTACCGAGGACCCTCTCTTTCATTCGTTGGAGGCAAATAGACAATTGGATCAAGCTACATAGACCAAAAATTTCACCATATATGACAATTTAAACATTCCATGTTTAAAACAAGGTGAGTTGGCAATTTCATGGTAATCAATGAAAAAATAATAATTTTATTGCGACATCATATGGTGAAATTTTTTTTGTCCCTATAGCTTAGCTTTATCCAAGGCAATTAGTTTGTTGATCCGGAGCCTATAGGAAGGCTAACATTTTTTTTAACATAGTTACCCCCAAATACTAATATGGATTTCGCTAGGAATTAAAAAAAAAAAATTGACTTAAAGATTTTTAATATAGTGCACCATATAATCAGAGTGGATATTCCGATATTACAATTGCATTAGCAATTCGTATCAACTATCACAAAGTGTTGAGTTAACATGTATTTTTTCAAATGATGTATTTTTTACTCATGTAATTAAAAAAAAAAGGATAAAATTATTATTTTATTTACAAAGATATTATTCCTTTTTTATTCATAATAATCAATATTTTTATTATTCCACAAGAAAGTTTCCCAAGATATATACCCAAAGTCCAAGGACAATATGCAAAATTTATATATATAAAAGGGATAAAATCTAAAATTTTAATTCTATGAAGGATCTGAATGCCAAATTAAGCACATTTAATTATTTCTAATTATATCTATTAATCTATTCTAATAAAAGATACGGAGTATAATGGTGGAGTTAATGGGTTTGAGTCCCATCAATCTCTTTCCACTTTTCTTTAGAAAAAAAAAATTAAAAATAAAAGAAAAACAGAGAGGGGGTGGGGGTAGGGGGGGGGGGGGGGTTGATGAGTGATGACTAAAGAAATTGTATGATTTGGTATATTGTTGGGTTGAAAGCATTCAGTCTGTTCTGGCCGTCTCCATCATTGTCCACACGTACAGCTTTATACTAACTACAACTCTCTCTCTTTCTCTCTCTCTAACACAGACTCCACTTTCTGTGTCTCTTCTTCTAATTGGTCTTTCACTCCTGCTTTTCTCTCAATTCTGGAATTCATTCACATTTTTAGGCTTTCTGGGTACATGTTTATAGTCCAAAAAAAGTTGACCTTTTTGTGCTAAAGATTGGAACTTTGGGCAAGTGATTCTCTGATCTGGTCTGGGCTTTTCTCAAGAACAAATTTTGGGTGGGAAAAGATGACTGTGGAAGAAATAAGAGGACACATGGGGAGTGAAAAGGGAAATCATGACAACTTCCCAGTGGGCATGAGAGTTCTTGCTGTTGATGATGACCCAATTTGCTTGAAGTTATTGGAAGGCCTGCTTAGGAAATGCCAGTATCATGGTATGATTTCTTTCTATCTTTTTTTTATGAATTTTTTATTGAATGATTGTAAGTTTGAGGCTTTAATTTTGGAGCATTGACTTAAGTTGTGTGAACTAATTTTGAGTCTCAAGTAGATTTCAGAAGCCATTGATTGCCCAGGCTATTTGCTGATTCTTTAAACTTTTCTTGAAAAATTTCACTTTCAGGATCTAGGTCTGATTTCCCAATCCATGGGAAATTTTTAGATCTCACTTTTGATTCTATATTTCATCATTTCCAGTGCATGTTGCATGGTTTGGGAAGAAACCCAAAAATAAAAAGATGGTGATTGTTGGTGGTGATGGTGGGGCCTGGTGGGATGGAAATTGACTGTAGCATTTCAGTTGTTGTTAGTAATTCTCCTGAAAATTCAATTGGTCCTTGTGGTCCCTGTTGCATATGAGAAGATGAAAAAACAAAAACAAAAACAAAAATTGGTTCTTGTAAATGTTTTCTCTTAGTCCAACTCCCAAGAATTCTTGTTTGTTTCTTTTAAGGTAGATCACTGCTATTGTTTGGAATTGTTCTATGATGTTCTGCTGGAACTATGCCCCCATGAGTTTTAAAGGTTTTTAGATATTCCATAGCTATGTTTGATTTTGAGGTTTTTATCCCAGATTTCATCAAATCCAATGCCTGCAAAGCTATTTATAGCCTCAGGATTTCCCTAAAATGAATCTTGGTTTATTGATGTTTTTTTCGAAAATCTTTGAGAAATTTGCTGTGATCTTGAATACAATCTGTGTTTGCTTTTTCAGTAACTATATCAAGTCAGGCAAGAATGGCACTGAAGATGTTGAGAGATAACAGAGACAGATTCGACCTGGTGATCAGCGATGTTCATATGCCCGATATGGATGGTTTTAAGCTGCTCGAGCTCGTTGGTCTCGAGATGGATCTTCCTGTCATCAGTAAGCGTCTGAATTTCGCCCGACATTTTGTTACCTCGTTTGAATTCAGTATCCGGATAGATAGATCTAGTTCTGTTAATGTTAATCTGGCATATATTTGTGGGTGTAGATTTGCGAATTGACCCCATTCCCTTTGAAATTTTTTCAGTGTTGTCGGCGAATAGTGATCCCAAACTTGTTATGAAGGGAATAACTCATGGCGCTTGTGACTATCTCGTGAAACCTGTGCGGATTGAGGAGCTGAGGAACATATGGCAGCATGTAATCCGAAGAAAGAAGCTCGAGCCCAAGAGCCAAAACAAGTCGGGTGATCAAGACAGATCTCCTCACGGGGGTGGAGAAGGCGGGCAGGGGGCTCCATTGTCGGGTTCCACAGACCAGAACGGGAAGCTCAACAAGAAAAGGAAGGACGAGGAAGATGAGAGCGACGAGAATGGTCACGAGAACGAAGACCCTTCAACGCAGAAGAAGCCTAGGGTGGTTTGGTCTATAGAACTCCACAGGAAGTTCGTTGCAGCCGTTAACCAGTTGGGCATCGAAAGTGAGTTCCCCAACGTTGTCATTCCTTTTTATTTCGGATCTCATCTCATTCACATTATTTCATCCTCTCGTCCTCTTGAATGCAGAAGCTGTACCTAAAAGGATTCTTGACCTGATGAACGTCGATGGTCTTACCCGAGAAAACGTTGCAAGCCATCTCCAGGTAATAATCTCCGCTCTTTGGGGCGTTTGGTTGGAAAGAAGGAATTAGGGGAGAAAGGAATTGTAATTCGGTGGAATAAAGTAGGAATTCAAGTTACATTGTTTGGTAGGAGGAATAGAATTATTGGGAATGAGGAGGGAAGAAGTGGTATAAAGACTAAAATGTCCTTGTGTAATAATAATGTTAATAATCAAGGGTAAAAAAGTCATTTTCCTCTCTTTTCCCTTTCCTTTCCCCATTGAATTGCAATTCATATGGGAGAGGGTATGAATTGCAATTCAACAAAATGAGGAATTGCAATTCCCTCCAACCAAACACTGTAATTCGGGTGGCCAAAGAATTAGGCTGTAATTGAATTACAACTACATTTTTGTGTTATTGTTGTTATCCTTAAGTATTTGATATTTTGATGCATTGACAACGTAACTTTCATGTGAGCTAATACCGCAACTAATTAAAAGCGTGATCAATAATAATGTAGCTTGATTTGTATGGAGATTTCTTACGAAGATATATTGTTTTTTTTTGGACATTTTATAATAATACGTATGGACCTCTGATACTGTGCTGCAGAAATACCGGCTCTATTTGAAAAGGATCAGTTCAGTTGCAACCCAACAGGCCAACATGGTGGCGGCCTTTGGGGGTAAAGATTCTGCTTATATGCGAATGGGTTCGCTAGACGGGCTTGGAGATTTTCGGACACTGGCTGGATCGGGAAGATTTAGCCATGCTTCTTTATCATCGTATACGCCAGGTGGCATGCTCGGTAGACTTAATAGTGCTGCTGGTGTGAGCATCCGAAATCTTACCTCACCGTCATTGATCCAACCAAGTCACGGGCAAAATCTGGGCAAGCCCCTCGGTACTTTAGGAAAGTTGACTCCGAATGTGAGCCAGAACGCTTGTCTGTTTCAAGGAATTCCATCGTCGTTAGAGCTCGATCAGTTTCAACAAAGCGATGGCATACGGGACCTGAATCCCTTGGATGATTCGACGCTCCTTGGGGCTGCTAATACCTTCACGGACCCTGGATCGGGGATTGGTAGTTCGAGCAATCCTATGATGCTTCACGGGAATTCTCAATTGGCGGCGGGGGGAATTGGAAACCAGCATTCTCTCAACATGGCTTCTTTAAATTCCGAACATTTTAACATTGGTGTTGGCGGTTCTTCCAATTTTCTCGACCATGGACGAGCTAGCGACAACTGGCAGAACCCGATTCAGGTGACCAACTTTCAATCGAGTTCTCTTCCATTGACCGAAACTTTCAATCAAGGCCAGATGCAACAAAATTGTGCGAGAGAAAATAATTCTTCGATCGCCCCTCATTTACAGGGCGGGTGTGCAGGCTATTCTTCCCTCTCATCTACTGCCACGCCTTTCGAAGATTCACGGGGAGAAATTCAACGACGGGAAAGGTTGGTAGTAGGTGATGCTATCCCGAGTATTAACCATCAATGGGGAGAACTTAAACAGAACCCTAACTCAAACGGCGTTTACAGCAACTTAACCGCTCAGGTTCCCGCCAGCAGCATCGTGCCGCCTTTAAGCCAGAGTATGGACCTATGCAATGACACCGGCAACAGAAGAATGGACGCTTCCGGTCAATCGAATCTCGGGGGTTCTTCGGTTCTCTTGCAACACAACAAGAACGAAAAGTTGAGTACAGAATCAAGGGCGAGATACTATGAAGACTACCTTTTCGAGCCCCCGAAGCCACAAGGCGCTTTTCCTTCTCAAGGTTACGGCTCTCTGGACGATCTGATGAGCTCGGTGATCAAGCGGGTATGACGTCTGTCTCGCCATATTCCTTTAGTTGATAAGTTCTTTCTATAGCTTTGAATACCATAGTGTGAACAACTCGTGTCGTTTTCTGCATGTTGTTTGACTTGGATGGATTGGATCTATGTGTTCCCGTGAAGTATATAAATATAAAGTATGAAACTACATCTCTCGTGTCACATATGAAGTAATCGAAACAAAACGAAGAATCGCAACATCTATTTTAGCGATCTACTAATGTACCAGATAACGAGAACTAGTACCGACATTCAATTCTGATCCCTTACTTGTTGCGGTGCAGGAACAAGATGGAGCGACACTAGAAGGGGAATTCGGGTTTGATGCTTACTCATTTGGGCCGTGTATATGAGAGTCGTTTTTTGTAGCAATTCTTCAAAAAGAGAGAGGGTGTAGGATGCAGGGTCTGCTTCATCAGAATTCTGTGTTGATATGTAGCTTCTTTAGATTTTTCCTTATTCTGATGCTCTTTTCCTCATTATTATTTTTTATAAGTACTTTTGTTGTTTGATAAATGGTAACATATCTTGATGCATAAAGCCTATTCATTTCTTCTCCATCTATTGTCTTCTATGCTTTCTGTCTGATCATCTCATAGATTTGTGGATGTAATGCTCTCTTCTTCTTTTTTTAACGAGAAAAACCCAAAGTCACTACTGTGGTATTAGGTAAATCCCGCCTTGTGATTTTAGCTGGCAAAGGATAACAATAAGGTAAACCAACCTAAAGTATTCATAATTGTGGATAAATTTTACCTTGTGACTCCAGCTAGCAGGGGGATAAATTAGCTTATAGATTAATAAACTGCTTTCGCTAGGAGTCGAAGCCAACAACCTGACTAATTTGGTTGGGATTGTTCCGATGTAGTGTTTTATGTTTAGTTACCCTTCCTTGACACAACTAGAAACAATCAATATCACATATAGTAAAAAATTTCTCATCAATTGAGAACTTGATTTGTAACGGTGTCAATAGTAACGCTGATTGTGGTGGGTACTATTGGTACCGATGGTATAGGTGCAAATAGTATGCAAATAGTATTCGGTACATAATTTGTGAAAGTTCGATCCCGCGAATTTAAAGATAGTTGTAATTGTATTTTTGTACTCAATAACATATAGTGAATGCATATCTATTAACATCAGAGAACAAATTGGGGTCTGATGCACTAGAACACAGACAAAATTTGCTTGTCTGCTATTCTGCAAATATACACACTTGTGAAGCAGATGAATACACTACTTGTTTCTATAGTTTATTCGACCGACCATCCCATTTGGCGAGCTCGTTTCTCCCACAGCGATGTCAGCTTCCGTTCTTTGGCAAGCAACACCTCGGCCCGCTCTCTCCCTACTTCACAAGTCTCGGTTGCAGCATTGCATTTCTCGGATTCTTTCTGGTATTCAGAGGCGAGGCGTTTGGCTTCCGTGAAGGTCATGTTCATACGGTTCACATGTTCCTTGTCAACGGCCTCCTGCAGCTTTAACTCCTCCGATAACAAGTCCACGAACTGCTTCTCCATCTCTTCTTTCAGAGCGGGATCATCTTTCCCGCAGTCTGTTGTATTATGAACAAATTTTGGAACATCAAATGCCACGATATAAATGAGACCTTCTAATCTTTGCGCTAAAATAATACTCGCTAAGAAAGACTAAAAATATTGTTTTTTTTTTCAATGAAATTGTGATCCTTCATTGAGGAAGAAAGGAGCAGGAATAACTACCTGTAACTGAGAGATTAAGTAGACCTGCAAAATAAGAAACCAAACAGTTTAAAGCATTAGTCAATATAGTTTTGAAGTTTGGAAAAGAATCGAATCATCAAAACTGCATGTTCAGACAAGAAATAAATGTTTCCAAATCATAGTAAATTTGTCTTGGACAGATACGCTTATTCCAGAGATGAAGTGCAGAATCGAAATGATCATGAAATACAGCAAACTAAATATGGATCAAAAGTATAAAAGGGCCTTGAATCCATCCCGGTATAAACCAAGCAACAGACTTACAGAAAAGTTTCAAATCATAAGGGAGGTTGAAAACTTGAAACGTTATGGCCCTGTTTGGTAAAATAGTTAGCCTATTAGCCAATTTTGGCTTATTTGACCACTATTAGCTGTTTGACTTTGTTAAACAATCAATATGCGTGTTCAATTAATTAGCTTTTTGTAACAACTTATTGCTCCAAAATGCCAAAATTTAAAAAGCTGCTCAAATAGCTTTTTCGATCAGCTTTTTGAGAAAGTCTGTAATCAGCTTAACAGCTAATTTACCGAACACTTTTCTACAACCAGCTAATGCTATCAACTAGTCAAACCCACTAACCCAATCAGCTAACAACCATTTACCAAACACTCCCTATACCAAGAGATCATCGTGTCAAGAATTGCGTGTATATCTTGAGATGCTTTGCTAAAATTCCTTTTTGAGTAAAATTTCCCCAACATTGAAATACAAGTAACCATTTCACCTGAAACATTTTCTTCCCTTTCTCACTTTGCTGTGAATTATCTTTACCATTGTCAGACACGAAACACCTCTCTTAACTAACACTAGCAGAGTTACAAAACCTTATTCAGTACTTCAATAAAACGAACCTTATTCAGTACTAACCACCAGAGATTTGCTTAATTTTTGTTGATTATTTGATGGGAATCTTGCAGTCTTCAATAACCTACTTATAGTTCGAAGTGCCTCTCTAATCCCATACCAAACTAATTATATTATGAAGAGAGGCTCATCAAAATACTTTCCACCAAGTATCTGCCATGGATAGACTTTAAGAAACTATTAACCCATAAGAAATACACAATTAATATCCAATCTTGCTGCTTCAACTAGAAACTTCTCTAGCTTATAGATCACAATGAATCCCCTAAATAGTTAAATCCAACTGCCAAAAAATCTTAAGCTGATTTGTACAGCACCAACCAAAATAAAATTAGCTCAGTTGGGAGGCAACCACAGCCAAGTTAGTTAGGCTTTTAACTTGATTGATAACCACAAAGTTACGAGGAGCAATCTATTGGCTTTCTTGGTTTGAGCCCGTCAATTCTGGGTAAAATAAACTAGTTTACTCCTTGTTGTCCTTTACTTGTTGTTTTGGTCAAATCACGAGGTATCTTGAGCAGACCCTAACTGTAGGAGGCACCTTTAAGCTCGTACCATACCCGGACTAATCCGGTTCGCACTGGGCCGGTCCAATTAAGGAGCAAAGTGCTGGCTAGATTGATTTTTCCATACGAGAGGGGGTTCAAACTCCAAACCTCTCTTAAGGGAGGATAGTGCACGGCCACTCACGCCAACCAAGCTGATTTTGTTGTCCTTTACCAGTGAGGCATTACGCGAGGGTAGTGATTGCGGGTTTCCCTCTTCACTAAGAAAAATTAGGTAGGTTGGACTTGGGTAACAAAAGAACACCTTCAACTTCAATAAATGACCACACTTCAAGAAAATTCCTTAAATTCTACACTAACTACTGAATTGGATTGAGCTTATTAACCAGATAATAACCCTATGGGAAGCATACTCCATAACTGAGAACCTCAAACTAGTCTGATGATATCCAACTAAATTTAAGTTCAGGTGAACAATAAACCAATAATCAATATCTTCACCCAAAGCAGAAAAAGCAATAAACAAACACAAAAAAAAAAAAAATTGAATCTTAGGAAATGCCCAGAAACTTTTAAAAGGGAAACAGTAAAGGAAAGAATCTCGGATCTGAAAGTGTTGGGGTACATACCAGGAGCAACATCAAAAAGGGAGAGAGTAGGAGAGCAATCGCATTTGCAAGGAAGGCAAGAGGCCTTTAGCTTTAAAGCTTTCTTAAATTTCCAATAAAAGGCAGGTCCAGATACACACAGAGCTGAGACCACAGCGAAGATCACCAAACAACACCTCAAGCAAGTCCCAGATCTTCTTGACATCTCTCGTGAGGCCAGATCTGAGAAGGAACTGATCGGAAGATGGATCTACTGCTCAAGTGATCCTGCTTTTTGAAGTGATTTTCAGGCTGAGGAGTGGAAGATTTATGCTGAGTAAAATTATGCTTCTTTGAGACAAAGCATGATAGCAGTATGGCAATTTATTACCCTCCAACAGTCCCACTTTATTATGATTCACGGAATGACATTTGAGAATCAAATAAAATTTTTGGAATTTTTTTGTTAAGGATGAAAAATATCCACTATTCCAGAATATGTATGGGATAAACATTACTCCAGTGTAATAGATTGTAACAAACTAGACTCAAAAGATGTTAATAAAAATCAACTATTGTGTAATAGTCTGTAACAGGTTCGATTGACAGAGTATTGATAAGAATTGAACTCGTAAAGAAATCATACTCTACTCAATCCGTCACCTCTTTCGTATTTTCGTTATATAATTGATACAAGTGTAGATAATATTGTATTGTATAGAATAATATGTCTAACTATATTTGTACTATTGATATTAGTGTCGAAAATATGTGATATAAGGGCATCCTCAATAGTGGAGACTTTGGTGTAGTTTTTTTAGGTGCAGAGATGAGGAGGAAATAGAAAAAGTAAAAAAGTAAAAAAATAAAATGAAAGAGGTTATTAATGCAAGAAAAAAAGAACAAATTGTTATCTTTATCTTGCATTGGGACCACAAAAATCTCATTCTTTGCTGGAGGATCTCTAGCATTCTCTCACTTGCTTCTCTTTCATTCATGGTGGTAATTTTTTATTAAAAACTGTGAACAATCCCCCTAATGGGGATGCTCTAACAAGAAATATTATACATAATTAGTATATGGTACTATCAGCATGTATATTTTCCCAAATTTTTCTTTTGATGTAAATGTTGAAGTAATTTCACAATATATAATTTCTTTTGCATTCATAATTCAACATTTGGTACCCCCACCACTCAAAGAAAAGTATGTTCCAAACTCTTTAGCATCCTCGATAGCAATGATTTTTTTTTTTTTTTTTTTTGTGTAGTTTTGAGGTGCCAACTAGGAGAAGGATCAAGTTACGGTAACGCGCCTAGTTGGGCACTATGTTGCAACTCACGCGAGGGCAGAACATTTGCTTTTCAATTTTAGTGAGAATCATATCAAAGACCAAATACCACTCTTTGCAGGAGGTTTCACATTTTCTCACTCACGCGAGGGCCGTTGCCTTTCAATTTTAGTGGAGCCCATATCAAAGACCAAAAACCACTCTTTGCATGAGGTCTCACACTTTCTCTCTCCTCACTCTCTCTCTTCCACTCCAGTCATAAATTCCTCAAAAACTGAGTAAAAACCATTGATGGAGATGCTCTTAGCGTAATACCCTCTTAGCCCTTTGAACTTCTAACTTTGCAATTGCATTCTCAATATATAAATTGTATTGACAAATATAAAAATTAAATATTTAAGTAAAAATAAATTAAATACTCTATAGTTATTGACTTATCTTACTCAAATTAGATATTAATCATTGAATAAACTAACTATACAAGCTAAGCATCTTGTGTTCAGATGGCACTCGGGTTGGACTCCCATATGGGAGGTCATGAGTTTTAACTCAAGTGGAGGCGTTATTGGCTGGCTCTTTATGCTTCAGTAGGTTGAGAAAGTAATAGAGTCAGTAGCATTCAAGAAAAAAAACTAACTATACAATGAAGCATTCATTATATTTAAAGTAAAACATCAAACAATTATCATATACAAGTGAATTGAAACAAATAATTGAAATGTGGAAAGAGTTTGATTATTAATGTACCAATCCCAATTACAATTACAAACAATATTACAGGACTCAATTCCTTTGTATACCGATTCCTCATCACTATACCGCCTCGGTTCCTTTGTATACCGATTGCTCATCACTATACCGAAATTTAACATCTTCTATGTCTGAGCTTCGGTCATACATTGGTATAACTAATAGTGACTGTAGGAGTATTTTACACACTTTTCATAGTTGTTCTATTTCGTTAGTTCCTAAATCCTCTAATACGGTTAGCTCACTCTTTAGCTACAGCAGTCTACTCTCAGGCTAAACTCACTGTCTTGGGACTCTGTCCCCCTGGATTTTGTCTCTGCTTTATTACAGTAATACAAATATGATTATTGATTTTCAAAAAAAAAAAATATATTACAGACCATTATTAGCAGTACAAACATGCTCAGGGTATAATCTTTGCCAAGCACTCCATGTTGAAATGCAGAAATGATCAAATTCAATGACAATTAACACTCCCATAATGTCAAGAAATGAGGTATAAATATATCACCCCTGGAAAAGCTCACGAGTCATATTAACAGGGCAGACAATACACCTATTTTCGATATAAACAGTTCATCCTCGAGCTAGCCAGTTGTATCAATCCTTACTTGCTAGTCAGTTGTATTCTCCCTTGAGCACTCCTACTTCCCGGGAAGGACTGAGGAGGGAGGGATTCCAAACACCGAGCTACTTCATCCTCGAGGCATCTCCAATAGGGGCCTCAGAACAAACTGGCTGCAGATCTCATCGTTAAGAAATTCTGTGTTAAAAGCATCTAAGCAGTAAGCATACTACATGAAACTTCAACACATTAATCTGGGATTGAATATGCCTGTCCAATAGACTTAGAAATTCGAGATAATCCAGCACCCACCACCTGTAGCCGTTTTCATTCATCATTGTTATCATAAGCTTCATATTGACATGTATGTATTCTTATCTTTCTCAAGCAATTACAAATTTACTATCACTATCAAGGAATATTTGAAAAAGATTAAACAAGCATCATCACAAAACATGAAAACCACTCATCGATTATATCCAAAACCCATTCAAATTTCACATTCATATAAAGGGATGGGGATCTGAATGTGCATAGAACCATATTACATGAATTTTTGAGAGAGTAATCACTCATAAGGGTCTGAAAAACATACCTGAAGGTACCTCTTGGTTGGGTGGACAGATGATGCAAAAATCATTTGTGCCCAATAACAGGGATAATGGATAATGGATAATGAAGGGGGAAGTCCAAAAATCGCTCTAAATATGAGCCATGCCATTAGTTCCACTCTGATCCCTTTTATAACTGCATTGCTTGCTGCTTTGCTCTTACTTATCTTCTTACGTTTCCCGTTTTGAGTTTAAGGTCTAAAACCAGGCAAACACTTGAGGAGGACTAAGGAAAGAATGCAAATGGATATAGTTCAGATTAACTTGTCCATGAATTCCAGGCATAAGCATATTTCTATTAACTAGAATAGGTTTCAGCCAATGGGGCATAAAAACTAGGGCTGGGCACTTCGGTTTTCGGTTTGGTTTTTTCGGTTTCGGTTTCGGTTTTTCGGTTTTAGAAAAAGTTGAACCATTCGGTTTAACATTGTAGTTCGGTTTGGTTTCGGTTTGGTTTCAATCGGTTTGGTTTCGGTTCGGATTTAATTCAGTTCGGTCTTCGGTTCGGTTTAAGACTTTACGAGAATTACATTCATCAAATTTCAACATTTCATAATTTTCCAAACATACTACCAATTACCAAACAATACCTATTCACATAATCCACATCTAAAATATAAACGTTATATAACAAAATAAAAATTTAAAGTTTAAACATACTACTAAATAGTAAATACTAACATCACATACTAATAGCAATCTAATTACCAAAACATCACATACTTAGAAATTAGAATCCAAAGTTCAAAGTTCAAACATTACAAACATGAATCAATAACTCAAATCCAAAGTCTAATATCTAAATAAAGGATACCAACATAACAATTCAAAAACAATCAACATAACAAAACGAATTCCAAACTCATAGGTTGTTAAGTTGTTCATCCATCATCACGGTCACAGATCAATATGACGTTGCCCTGTTGATTTGCGAATCTCTGTACAACAAAACAAAAGGTTCAAAAACAAGTTAAAATAATAAAATATTGAAGCATAAACTAATATAGTATATACTATACATAAATTCATAAAAAAATATAAAATTGTAACTTACCTTCTGCAAGCATATCCATAAACTGAGTTTCTTCCAATATTTGAGCGAGGCTTACTGTTGAATCAGATTGGAGTGAAGACCGTAACCAATCTTGTGTCAAAATCAATGCCTCTACCATATACGGTGTCAAAGAACTCCGATATTGGTCTAAAATACGGCCCGAAGTGCTAAAAGCAGACTCTGATGCAACACTAGAAACTGGCATTGCAAGAACATCACGTGCCATTTGTCACAAGATTGGGAATTTCATACTTTCTTTCCTCCACCATGACAAAATATCAAATTGCATACCCAATCTATTAGGAGTTGGCATTTCAATCTTTTCCATCAAGTATATATCCAACTCATTTGATGTTTGTTGCACATCTCATTTTTCACATATCAAACCGGTGGCATACGTGTTAAAAATACTCCCAACAGCCGAGACATCACCAACATCTAAAACTAATTCACTAGTCACACAAGATTGAATTACACTCTCACCTCCACTTTCACTTCCACAACCACTTTGACTTGTAGTTGCACTTGGTTTAGCATAGAATGCACTGTATACCTCATACAACTTACGCATGATATCCACAACTGCTTCTTTCATTTCACTACATTTTGGTGTATGGTAGTGTATCTTTACCATACAATTTTTCAAAACAAACTGTCACAAAACCCATCTTGCTCCTGGGATCCAACACACTACTAACAATCAACAATTTGTTTATCTCAGACCCCTCCCAATACTTATCAAACTTTTTCTTCATTTCCTTTGCCATGCCACTCATATTGACATCTTTACTACTACTGAAAACATTCAAATTAACTTCAATTGTGCATATATCATCAAAACAATGACTAGATGTCACAGTTTTGTATGAAGAAAAAGACAAAGTCGCATCATAAAAAATTTTCAAAAATTGTACCAATCGACGGACATTCTCCCAATCATTTGATGATGGCGGCCCAACCCTTCTCTTTCCATTTTCATCCTCTTTAAAGTAAGCATCATACAATTTGTCTTCATTAGCCATTCGATCAAATGCTGCCCTATACTTCAAAGCTGCAGTCAACATGAGGTAAGTAGAATTCCATCTAGTATTGCAATCTAAAATCAAACTCCCTCTGCATAGGTTATCTTGCTCTGCACGTATTTGAAATGCTTGAAATCTAGAATTGGATGATCTCACATACTTCACTGCATTACGAACACTAACCACACTATTACCCACCGCTGCCAAGCCATCCTTCACAATCAAATTTAAAATATGTGCACAACAACGCACATGCAAAAACTCTCCACCCAATATCATAGGATCCTCTCTCCAACACTTCACTTTAGTTTTGAAAATCCTAAGTGCACTATCATTAGCAGATGCATTGTCAACTGTGATAGTAAAAACTTTGGTGATACCCCAATCAATCAAACAATTCTCAAGTTCTTTTGCAATTGTTTTACCTTTATGATCAGAAATTGGTTTAAAACTGATAATTTTTCTGTGCAACTTCCAGTTCACATCAATATAATGAGCAGTGATAACCATATAACTAACAGTAGTAGTACTTGCAGTCCATATATCAGTAGTTAAAGAAACTCTTGACTGACTAATCATGCTCTTCAACAAAGCTTTTTCTTTCATGAACAATTCAACAACATCTCTTGTGATTGTTCTTCGTGAAGGGATAATAAATCTTGGACAAGCAACACTACAGAATTGTTTAAACCCATCCCCATTCACAAAACAAAATGGCAATTCATCCAAAATAATCATCTTAACAGTTGCCCTCCTACAAGCATCTTGATTAAACCCAACCGCCACAAGATTACTACTACCACCTTTAACAACACTTGCACTTTCAAGTATTGTTAGATTTTTTTGAGTTGTACTATCTAGGTGGTCCTTATATGCAGCACATCTTTGATTATGTGATTTCAATGTACTAGTGCCACTCGTTGATACACACTTAAATTCTTTATGGCAGTAATTACATTTACACTTATCCTTGTTGTCCTCCAATTTAGTGAAATGATTCCATACCTCAGATCTTGGAGCAGTTGGTTTCGGTGGAAATCCACTGTTTGGAAGTTTTCTTTTTTGTCCCACTGATTCATCAATTGACAAAGTTGGAGTGCTACTTGGAGTGTTCCCTTGATGGTAAGACAAAGAATCATCCATCTGCATTATAAAATTCAAATGTAAACGGTTCGCTTGATGGCAAGATACATGACTAAGCAATTTAAAATTTCCCGTCATATTAATTCTAATTCACTGGAATTGAAATTTAATTCCAGTGAATTGAACAAGAGCAGTTCAATGTTCCAGTTCACTGGAATTCCGGTGAGTTCACTGGAATTACTGGAATTCCAGTGAAGCCACTGGAATTCCAGTGAACTCACTGGAAGCCACTGGAATTCCAGTGAAGCCACTGGAATTCCAGTGACTTCACTGGAATTACTGGAATTAAATTCCAGTGACTTCACTGGAATTTAATTCCAGTGTTAATTCCAGTTCACTGCAAAAGTGAACTGGAATTTTCCAGTTCACTGTGAACTGGGAATTTTTCAGTTCACTACTGGAATTTGAATTAAATTCTAGTAGTGAACTGGAATGAAAACAATCAAATGATCAATACAAAAGTAAAACTTATACAGCGCAAGTCAATGAACATAATGAAATTGAAATTCTAGTTTCTAGAACACAAAATCTAAATAAATAAATAAAAGTCCTAATTCAAAATTCTTTAAATAAGAAAATGTATAAACTATAAACTATAACCTATAAAACTAAAAAATATTAAGTAGAAAAGGAAAACATATTCAGTTATTAACAATTTAACATACCTCGGTCGCGGATGGTGTGAGTCACTGAGCCAAGGGAGGAAGGAACGGAGGAACCTAGGAGGGGTGGCGGACGGGCGGACGGGTGGCGGACTGGCGGAGGGGTGGCGCCGTGGCGGTTGCCGGAGGCCGGAGATGTGACTGCGACTGGCGTAGGGGTCGAGGGGCGGAGCCGAAGGTGAAGGCGTGAAGTGTTGTCGTAACTGGTAAGGGTGAACTGGAAATTAGGGTTAGATCTTAGAATGTTAGATTATATTAAAGTTTATTTATATATAATTATATATTATTAGTTATTATATATTTTTTTTATTTTTTTTTTTAAAAACCGATCGGTTTGTCGGTTTGGTTCGGTTTTAAACCGAACCAAACCGAACCGATCGGTTTCTCAAATCTTAGGACCGATCGGTTTTTCGGTTTGAAACCAAACCGAACCAAACCGCTTCGGTTCGGTTTGGTTCGGTTCGGTTAAACCGAACCGAAATGCCCAGCCCTAATAAAAACAACTTAATTTATTGCCCCAACCCTCTATCCATTGAAAAAAAGAAATAAAATAAATGAATTTCCATTTATAAACTAATAATCTACTTGCTTTCACATGTTACCAACTGTCAACACCAACTCAAGTACTCAAGACTTCAGGAGAGACTTGAGTTTTGTTTTTCAAGGATAATCATATGCTGCTACAAGTAACAAAACCACACAGAACATTTTTATATTGTTCCATATATTAACTAAAAGTTTAAACTATTACTAAAAATACACATTTATTATATTTATATATTTATCTTCAAAATGTAGCGAGGCTGTGATTTTCACTTATTCAATCAAGAAAAGGAACTAAATACTGACTGCTTATTTATATATATATTGCGAGGCTCAGATTTTCACTTATTCAATCAAGAAAAGGAACTAAATACTGACTGCTAACGAAAGTTGCCTTGTGAGATGAAGAGACAGAAATGATGAACTCAACTCTTTCTCCAATCTCCCTCACTAAGCACCTCAGTTGCCAAGCCAGGTTAATGGAATAGCTCAAAGTCTACTTTCAAACAATTGCCATCACAGAACAGAGATCATCACAGCCTCTTCTTCTTTTCTTTTTTTTTTGGGGGGGTTAAAGACCACCCTATAAGTTTTAATTATGAAACTTTTAAAGTAGGGGATGTTTGGTTGGAATGGATATGTACATACATAAAACGAGGGCTGTTTCTTCTATTTTTAGTTCCTCTTTCTGATAGTGATGAAATCATTGGCAAAGTTACAGAGAGGGGAAACCACCCTTAAGAACTCATGCCTCTCTGAAGTTAAGCCTCATTCTCAAAATAAAGACTTTATAAGTTTGCCTTCCTCCCAAGAAATAAATAAATAAACATGGGAAGTTTACTGAGGGGGAGAAAGTAAAATCAGTAAATGAAGCTCAGATTTGCCTTTTCTCTATCAACCAATAAATGAAGGGTTAACCTGCCTAGCTGCAAAAAAATTGCCATGCCGAGATACAGGTAACAGATTTTCAGACAAGTATAAAGAATCATCACAGCCTCTTTCATACTGTTTAGGGTTTAGAGTGTAGGGTCTTAAGACAGCCACAATTTCCATATGGAGTATTATGCTTATTATTATCACCCTCACTCCCATACAGATGTATCTTTAAAAAATCAACTAAATCTCACCGCTCACCCAAAGGAAGGAGAATTAATAATCACATTCTCTAATAGAGATACCAGATGCTATATGTTTTGTTGGGACAACTGGTGATTATCAGTTATCACCACTTCCCTGTGTAGCTGCATTTGTGAAAACACAAGAAAGATGTTTTTATATATATTATATATAAGAGGCTTACATTTTCACTTAATTAATCAAGAAAAGGAGCCAAATTACCAATCACCCAGGCTAGTAACAACAATTGCCTTGTGAGATATGAAGAATAAGAACAAAGAGAAACATGCTTCTGTTTTACCTCATTTTCATTCTCCCAAATCACAGAACATTACGGTTGCCAAAGCCAAGCTAATTGAAATATGGAATACCTCAAAATCTATTTCCCAAACTAAATAGTATTGCTAAAAATATATCATCACAGCCTCTTCAGTTTTTGAAGTTACAGCCCTTCACTTCCCATAGTATCAAAGTCTCATTAGGTGAGACTAGCAGGTGTAGATGTTGTTTGGAAGTCATATACGCATGTGTTTATACATATATGCACATGTAAATACACAAAGGGCAACCATCCTTACAAAATCATAGATGTGATAATACGAACACTAATGCATCCCAAGAGTAGTACTAGGATGAGTTGGAGGATGTGTTCTACCTCAACTAAAAGTAGTTTGAACTTGTAGGGAGAAGGACAGTAAAGGCCAAGTTTAGCACCCAATGGTGGTTGGGGGATTGTTGGGCGGAAGCCGGTAAAGGACTTAAAGGGCCAAGTCCAGCACCTGCATCTCGAAAAATGTGAAAAAATAAAGTTGTGCCTTCGCTACTAGCTATAACTTTTGGCGTAAGTGGTAAGGGTAGCAAGAATTGAATCCATGACAAGAAAACAAAATAAATGAGGCTCAGGTTCATCTTTTCTCTATCAATAATAACAGAAGGCTAAACCTGCCATGGCTGCAAGAAAAAACCTGCCACGCCAAGATGCAGGTCAGCTCAAAATCTGAAATTTTATTTCACAACAAAGATAATCATCACAGCCTCATATATAGGGTTTAGGGTTCAGGTTAACTAATCATGCCAGAATTTCAATATAGAAATTAAGGGCCCATTTACCTCAGTTATGAATACTCCATCCATCCCATTTTCCAGATCACACTTCACGTCTACAACACACTGAAAATCAGTACTATCATCTATCCATCCATCCATAACCATTTCCTCATCATCATCATCTTCATCTTCATCTTCAACCAACAAGGGTTGTTGAGTATATCATTTCCCATACTTTTTAGGGAAAATTGGAGAGATCATTGGCTTAATTGAACAACAGAGAGAGGGAACAACCATCCTTAGCAACCATTTCCTCATCATCATCATCTTCATCTTCATCTTCAACCAACAAGGGTTGTTGAGTATATCATTTCCCATACTTTTTAGGGAAAATTGGAGAGATCATTGGCTTAATTGAACAACAGAGAGAGGGAGCAACCATCCTTAGAAACTAGAAATTCACATAAACCCTCAACATAGAAATTACCAAACCAATCCAAATATAGAGCTGAGAACTGTAATAAATAAACAAATAATAATACTCCGTAACTAAACGGCACGATTGGTTCACAGAACGGAGGCTCAGACCTACAGGTTAGGATCGGGCGAGGAGAAAATGCGAGTCCTCCATGGCTGCAAACGTCAAATGCTCGTGAGATTCATGGAGCCATGACTGTTGCCCCGCCAAGATACGGGTCGGGTTATCTCAATCCCAGATCCATGCTCAGAAGAAATCCAACCAGATGTCAATGAATATCATCACCGCCCCCTTCTATAACCCTGACCTCTGCCGCCGGCAACGGAGAAATGCGGCAAGTAGCTTGGATCATGCATGCAAATAGCGGTTGTGAGTTGTGAGTTGTGGAATTCCTCATACATCACATTAATTGTGACCAAAGAAAAGGGGAAAACAACATTTTCCAAACACACAAGCATATATATATGTTCTTTGAAAGAAGAACAGGGTTGTTGATTTTTTTTTTCCCCAAAAATGAAAGAAAGACCCTTACAGAAATCCCAAACTCGCCTCCGTAGCCTCATCCTTTTCTTCTGAGCTTTTCACCATTGTTAAGCTCTCAACTCTCGAGGTTCCTCTTTTATAGTGTCAGCATTTACTCCATTACCATATCTCAAGTAATGTTTTTACCCCTTGGGATCTGGTAGATGGGCATGTAATCACCTATGGATTCAGGATACTTCCGTAATTAAAATTGAAATTAACCTTTTTTATTTTGCTTGACCATGATATAAGAAAATGATAACCTGTCCCCAAAAATTGAATCCCCAATCCCGACCTGAGTATTTGAGAGGATGTAAAATCACGGTAACTTCATGACTCCAGTACACACAGAATCTGTCCATTTTAAGCATAATTCCCACACTGTCAGATCTTTTCTCCCAAATACTGTCTACCACCAGTGAGTCGCCCCCGTAGCAAATGATAACCTTACTCCATGAAGTACAACTTTCACCAATTGTCCAAATTTTATTGAATAAAAAAAAAACGATTAAAAATCATAACTCACCCTACATATCATTGGGAGTAGCAAATGAAAATGCATGTAGGATTACTGACGATATAATATATATATATATACTTGTAAAAATAATAACATATTACAACCACTATCAAATTACTCCCATCAATATTTAAAGATTTACTTTAAAAAATATAAAGTCAGTTTTGAGAGAGAGAGTAATCACTCATAAGGGCCTGAAAACATATCTGAAGGTACCTCTTGGTTGGGTGGACAGATGATGCAAAAATCATTTGTGCCCAATAACAGGGATAATGGATAATGAAGGGGGAAGTCCAAAAATCGCTCTAAATATGAGCCATGCCATTAGTTCCACTCTGATCCCTTTTATAACTGCATTGCTTGCTGCTTTGCTCTTACTTATCTTCTTATGTTTCCCGTTTTGAGTTTAAGGTCTAAAACCAGGCAAACACTTGAGGAGGACCAAGGAAAGAATGCAAATGGATATAGTTCAGATTAACTTGTCCATGAATTCCAGGCATAAGCATATTTCTGTTAACTAGAACAGGTTTCAGCCAATGGGGCATAAAAACAACTTAATTTATTGCCCCAACCCTCTATCCATTGAAAAAAAAAAAAAAGAAATAAAATAAATGAATTTCCATTTATAAACTAATAATCTACTTGCTTTCACATGTTACCAACTGTCAACACCAACTCAAGTACTCATGACTTCAGGAGAGACTTTTCAAGGATAATCATATGCTGCTACAAGTAACAAAACCACACAGAACATTTTTGTATTGTTCCATCTTAACTAGAAGTTTAAACTATTAGTAAAAATACACATTTATTATTATTTATATATTTATCCTCAAAATGTAGCGAGGCTCAGATTTTCACTTATTCAATCAAGAAAAGCAACTAAATACTGACTGCTAACAAAAGTTGCCTTGTGAGATGAAGAGACAGAAAATTGATGAACTCAACTCTTTCTCCCTCACTAAGCACCTCAGTTGCCAAGCCAGGTTAATGGAATAGCTCAAAGTCTACTTCCAAACAATTGCCATCACAGAACAGAGATCATCACAGCCTCTTCTTTTTTTTTTTTTTTTTTTGAGTTAAAGTGACCACCCTATAAGTTTAAATTATGAAACTTTTAAGCAGGGGGTGTTTGGTTGGATTATGTACATACATACAATGAGGGCTGTTTCTTCTATTTTTATTTCCTCTTTCTGATATTGATGAAATCATTGGCAAAGTTACAGAGAGGGGAAACCACCCTTAAGAACTCGTGCCTCTCAGAAGTTAAGCCTCATTCTCAAAATAAAGACTTCATAAGTTTGCCTTCCTCCCAAGAAATAAATAAATAAACATGGGAAGTTTACTGAGGGGGGAGAAAGTAAAAACAGTAAATGAAGCTCAGATTCGCCTTTTCTCTATCAAATAATAAAAGGGTTAACCTGTGCCTAGCTGCAAAAAAACTGCCACGCCAAGATACAGGTAACAGAATTTCAAGACAAATATAAAGAATCATCACAGCCTCTTTCGTACAACCCTTCACTTTCCATAGTATCAAAGTCTCATTAGTTGAAGCAGGTGTCAATGTTGTTTGGAAGTCATATATGCATGTGTTTATATGCATATATGCAGATGTAAATACACGAAGGGCAACCATCCTTACAAAATCATATATGTGATCATACAAACACTAATGCATCCCAAGAGTAGTACTAGGATGAGATGAAGTAAAGGCCAAGTTTAGTAGCCGGTGGTGGCTGGGGTTTGTTCGGCAGAAGCTGGTAAAGGGCAAGTCCAGCACCAGCATCTCGAAAATGTGAAGAAATAAAGTTGGTCTTCGCTACTAGCTATAAGTGGTAAGCGATTGATCCTAACAAAGTGGTAAGTGATTGATCCTAACAAAACACAGAACTTACAGCGACTACCTAAGGGTGTGCTCAGGTGTAATAACACTAGGAAAACCCAATAGATACTACATTGTAATAGAGTCAGTAGTACTCAAAAAGAGTGTTAGCAAGAATTGAACCCATGACAAGAAAAACAAAGTAAATGAGGCTCAGGTTCATCTTTTCTCTATCAATAATAACAGAAGGCTAAACCTACCATGGCTGCAAGAAAAAACCTGCCACGCCAAGATGCAGGTCAGTTCAAAAATCTGAAATTTTATTTCACAACAAAGATAATCATCACAGCCTCATATATAGGGTTTAGGGTTCAGGTTCACTAATCATGCCAGAATTTCAATATAGAAATTAAGGGCCCGTTTACCTCAGTTATCAATACTCCATCCATCCCATTTTCCAGATTACACTTCACGTCTACAAACACACTGAAGATCAGTAGTATCATCTATCTATCCATACATAACCATTTCCTCCTCATCATCATCTTCTTCTTCTTCATCTTCAACCAACAAGGGTTGTTGTATATCATTACCCATACTTTTAAGGGAAAATTGGAGAGATCATTGGCTTAATTGAACAACAGAGAGAGGGAGCAACCATCCTTAGAAACTCATTACCTCTTTCAAGAGTTCACATAAACCCAAACCAATCCAAATATAGAGCTTGAGAAACTGCAACTGTAATAAATAAATAAATAAATAATACTCCGTAACTAAACGTCACGATTGGTCCGCAGAATGGAGGCTCAGACCTACAGGTTAGGATCGGGCAAGGAGAAAATGCGAGTCCGCCATGGCTGCAAACGTCAAATGCTCGTGAGATTCACGGAGCCATGACTGTTGCCCCGCCAAGATACGGGTCGGGTTATCTCAATCCCAGATCCATTAGCTCAGAAGAAATCCAACCAGATGTCAATGAATATCATCACCGCCCCCTTCTATAACCCTGACCTCCACCGCCGCCGGCGGCGGCAAAGGAGAAATGCGGCAAGTAGCTTGGATCATGCATGTATATAGCGGTTGTGAAATTCCTCGTACATCACATTAATTGTGACCAAAAAAAGGGGGAAAACAACATTTTCCAAACACACAAACATATATATATATATCTGCTCTTTCAAAGAACAGGGTTGTTGATTACGGAGTTTTTATTTTTCAAAAATGAAAGAAAGAATCATTGGCTAGCAGAGGAGAGGGCAACCACCCTTACAGAAATCCCAAACTCACCTCCGTAGCCTCATTCTTTTCTTCTGAGCTTTTCGCCATTGTTGAGCTCTCAACTCTCGAGGTTCCTCTTTTATAGTGTCAGCATTTACTCCATTACCATCTCTCAAGTTACGTTTTTACCCCTTGGGATATGCCAAACTCACCTACGGATTCAGGATAGTTCCGTAATTAAAATTGAAATTAACCTTTTTTTATTTGGCATGACCGTGATATAAGGAGAATGATAACCTTGTCCCCAAAAATTGAATTCCCAATTACTGATTCGAGCATTTTGAGAGAATGTAAAATCACAATAACATTATGACTCCAGTACACACATAATTTGTCCATTTTAAACATAATTCTAACGATATTCTTTTCTCAAATACTGTCTATTGCCCGTACATGCAAATGATAAGCTTACCTTTACTCTGTGAAGTACAACTTTCACCAATTGTCCAAATTTTATTGAATAAAAAAAGAATAAAAATCATAACTCACCCTATATATTATTGGGAGTAACAAATAAAAATGCATGTAGAATTACTGATGATATAATGTACAAATAATACTCCGTAACATATTACAACCACTATCAAGTTACTCCCATCAATAGTTAAAGATTTACTTTAAAAAATATGAAGTCAGTTTTATAATTATTAATAAAAATTTATAAAACTAAATTCACTCATTTTCTCATTACTTTTCAACTCACATGGGAACCTATTCTTAACTAACCCTCCTCTCTCCTCTCCTATATATATTGGGTGATTACTACCCAATGATATATATTTATTAAATCTCATTTCTTCTGTGTAACTAAGAGGAAGATGTTGGCAAGAAGGATCAATGCTGGAATGTCAAATGGTTTTTATGGTTTCAGTCTGTCATTTCCAGTGCAGTGCAAATCACACAATCTACAAACATAATTGAAACCCAAAATAACATTAAAATAATGAGTCAGGCAGTTGAGCACTTGACACCACCACCCATGGCTGTAAATCTCTCTCCTTTGTGAAAAAATTCAGACAAGCCTGGCTGGGTTGCCCTGCCATGAATGCCTGAATGGGCCTCTCATCATCTCAATAACCTTCTTGCTTATTGATTACCACCATAGTCCCATACACCATTTGAACTATTCTCTTTTTGCCCTTCAAGTGTCTTGAATTTGGAAATAAAATGCACAACTCCAGCTGAGATAAGAAAAGATAGCAGCACAACAAGAATAAAGAACTGTATAATACCACATAGAGAGTCTGTGACAAGGGCTGCTGCAATGGAGAAAAGAATTACAGGCTAAAATGAATAATTTCTCTACAAAGCTACAATCTTTAGGTTAGAGAGGATAACAGAATGGGGTTTGGGGATATTGACAAGGTCTATGGATTGATTACCTTTCCTGGAAGCTCAGATAAGTGTTTCATGGCACAAAGTGAAGTCAACACCACCATTGTGGCAAAAGTCCATCAGCATGGCATTTGAAAAAGAATTTTGGGTGACAATAGAAATATGTAGCCACAGAAGCGTGTATGAATGTATCCCCTTGTGACCGTAGCCGGGCTTATAATTGACCTATAGCTGACCGACTCAAACCAAAAAGGCCAATAAGTCATTCTCACAGAGAGTAAAAGTTGAAACCTTGTAATTACAAAGCACTACTAACCAACTTGGCAAGCCAATAGCTCGACCAACTCAGCCAACTTGAGGAAGACTACCCATAGACCATAGTTGATCAACTCAAACCTAAAAGGCCAACCCATTACAAGTGGAAGTTAGAACCTTGTAGGTACCAAGGCAACAGCCCAAGCAACCTGCCCACCAACTTGACAAGGATTACCCATAGTTGATCAACTCAAACAAAAAAGGCCAATAGACCACTTTCACTCTCGACCAACTTGGCAAGAGTTGCCACCGCATTTGAAAACTTGACACTAATTAATGATGGAAAAATCTCAGATCTTTTGCGAAAGAAACACAGAATACTACACTCCATAGATATATATGCCAGCACTGCTAGAAACTCTTGCTTCTAGAAAAGTTTGACATGTAGTATGGTTAAGAACAAATGATCCTAATGAATGTGGCAGGTATAGATGAGACCTCAGTAAAATGCAGTTGGCCACACTGGGCAGAGGGGCATGCATGGCTCAAGATATAATTTGTGCACTCTTTTTGGGTGTGTAAAACTCCATATAAAATGTAAATTGAAGCTCAAATGTGAACTTAAGCAGGCATTGAAACTCCTTGACACTGCCATGGCTGAAAATCCCAGTAAAGAGCTCAAAAAATATTCAACACAGTGAGTGAGATCAAAGTATGAATAACATACACAATAAAAGATACAATCTGCACTCTCATTTGTAAAAATTCATATAAAAGGCTGAAATATACATCTAATTAGAAGATATGATGCTACAAAAACAGCAGTAGTATTAGCAGTGGGAAAATAGGGCAAAATCAAATCATGGACTAACCACATAAAAGCAAACATAAGGCTAAAACTTCCAATTTCTCAGCCAAAACTTAGAAGGAAACTCTTCTGTTGAAGCTCAGATCTGTGTTTCCACCGGGCAATGGGAAGCCGACGCCGCCATGGCTGCAATAGCCGGGAAGATGCCGGATTGCCCCGCCAAGATACGGATCGGATCCTCCCAAATGCCCCGATTCAGTAGCCCAGAAAGAGAGGAACACAGAACGCCATATCATCACAGCCTCTCGACATTTTCAATAATAATAATAATAATAATCCGCAGTTTTGGTTTCATAAACATAATTAAAGATCACTGGATGTGTTTCAGTCATCCACAACCTTTCTGGGATTCCGAAGTGAAATCATTCCCATTTTGCTTTCATACTTTCCCCTTATATATTGCTTCTTCTTCTTTCTTTCTTTCTGTTTTCTGTCTTCCCTTCAATTGAAGGGAGAAATAAGAAAGGGCTGTTAGCAAATCCGATGGAAAAATGGAGAAATCACCGGCAGAGGAGAGAGAGGCAACCGCCCTTTCAACAAACTCCCATCCCTCTCCCTGCCTCAGTCCTGGGCTACAACCCTATTGTAACTATATGTCTGGTTTATATATTGCGAGTTTTGGTCCCACGAGTATTACTAATAATAGTCTTGGTCTACATATTTAATTTCTATCTATTTTTATTCATGATTATTATTATTTTAGTGTTATAATGTTATAATTTATCACACTAATCATGTATCCGTTTAAAATAAATCAAATTATGAAATGATTAAAGATATTTTTATCTTTTTAAAATTAAGATTCCAATTTAAGCATTAATCTCAAATTACAGTTTTTCTTATCAAATTAAGGTAGGACGAGAATGAGAACTACGAATTGGTATTGATCTTAGAGCTTAAAGCTCATTATTCATTCTCAATTTGATATCTTAAGTTGAAACTGATGAAAATACCTTTTAAAATTTTAGATTTTGACATATCTTAAACGAATGAGTGATTAATGTAATGAATTTTGACAATAAAATAATAGTTCTAGATTAAAATTGATACTAAAACAATAATCGTTGACGAAAATCTTTATATCTTTATATTATTATTATTATTATTATTATTATTATTATTATTATTATTATATATAATTTTTTATTATAATATAGCAAAATGTGTAGTTCCCGCCAAAAGTATGTAAAATAAATAATAAAATAATATAAAAGCTATATATATGAGTATTCACGGTTGGGTTACAAAGACGGTTGAGGATTAGAGTCTTTTAAAATTGCCACTAGCAACTGTTGAGATATAATAATTAGTGATACAATAATTATTCACTAATTATTGTTCAATGAATCCTCACTCCTTTGAGATTCCAAAACTTAGCG